TGTGTGTGTGTGTGTGTGTGTGTGTGTGTGTGTGTGTGTGTGTGTGTGTGTGAGAGAGAGAGAGAGACCTCTATTTGATGTTTACGACTCATCAGATTTCTCATAGAATGTTTTCTATGTAACAGACATGAGTAGATAGACTAACACGGTAATAAAACTACATTCCCTCCATGGCTTCATTCAGGCCCCAGTCAATAGGCAAAAACAGCATTTAGAGGTTCAGGTCCAATGAAGCAGCAGCACTCTAGCACCAGATGTAATGATACAGACTTAAGGCAAGAGAAAAGCTGCATGAGACTGCACCGCAACATTTGACCCCATTTAAAAACTTGATACCAATTAGAGAGTTCTGGGAGTAAATAATTTAAGAGACCTCGCACACTGAACACACACAAATAATTTTACAGCCATGCACACATGTATGCATGAATGTGCATGTGCATCGACACAATACCACGCATTAACCTATGAAAATATAACTCACACTCCTGTGCGTGCACACACACACACACACACACACACACACACACAAAGATCCCACCATGCTCTGGAAACAGACTTCTTAATGAAGCCTTCCCCAAGTGAAAGTAGAGCAGAAATACATACTGGCCCATTTCTGCCTTCACTTCACCCTCCTCTCCTCGATCTATTCCTCTCCCTCACCTTTTCCACATCATTTGTTTTATTCATGTTTTGTTGTCTCACTCTGTTGTGTCAATGAGTTAAATCACAACCCCTAATTTATGGCTGAAGGCAAAGACACTTCTACAAACAAGCTGGCTGATGAGAGGGGATGACTGAAAACATACGCACCAAGCGGTGTGTAAATCTTAAAATGTCGGTTACCGTCTTTTTATCTATGGTTATTTACATAAGAAATGACAATGTGTGTTGAAGAATGGCTCTGATGCAAAATGAAACAGGCTGTGCACTGGAGGAGAGGAAAAGTGAGAGAAAGACAGAGGGGGGAGAGAGAACGAGAGAGTAAATCCAGTGACACTGAGTGGGGAGCACTCAGGTGTGGTGAGAGGATTATACAAAAACCCTGAGTATGAATGACAGTAAACACCTGAATGACAGAGACGGGGAGGGGCGGAGGCTTGTGTGTGTGTGTGGCTCTGGGTGACAGTTTAGTGGTCCTTACTGATATTCGGAGAGGTGAATGAATATCGCCACTCAATGCTTTGAGGGCTATGCTGTTTACTCAAGTGCAACTTGTTATATTGTATCATTCACGACTGAAATGTTTGATTTATGGTACAGCATAAAGAAACTGAAACAATGAATACAAATGAATTTGAGAAGCAAACAATGTATGCGTGGGAATGAGGATGTCAACAAGGCAGGGAGTGTGGAAGGGGAAGATATCAATCAGGAGCGATCCACTGCAAGAGTTAGGGAGCTGTTTAGTTAGCAAGCAAGTTACATATTGAGCTATACAGCATGCAAGTAAGTCAATAAAAGGGCTATAGAGCAAGAAAGAGGAGGTATGTTTATCTTACTTGGACTTTGTTTTCTTTCTCTGTGTGCTCCATCAGTAAGGGATCGCTGACAAGGTCTCTGAAGCGAGCTTCAGTTTCTGAGTGAACACATTCTCTGTTCTTCTCTCTGCTCCCTGCAACACAAACACACCAATCAGCACCTCCAATCAACACTTTGATGATCTTTTTTGTTCTTTATTTCATGACTTTTCAGTTGCCATGTCACTATTTAAACATCTTTTAGAGAGAGCGTGTGTCGATTTCTATTCCTACGCAACTGGGTACGCTGAAGGCTTTTCAAACTATCTGCTGATTGTTCTTTAGTTGCATGGTTAAGTTGGATAAAAAGCTTCTTTTTCTGCAAGCTATTAGAAGGAGTGCCAACACAAGCCCCCTCTTGTGGGATGCTAGAATGCTTTTTTTAACCTTTGGCTTAAGGTTAAATTCAGAAGAGAGCAAAGCATGTTGATTCCTAGATCTGCTCTTTGTGAAATCCCTCACCTCTAGAGCTATACCAATGTACAGCGCTGACTCTACATGAAGCGTGACCCCGTTTCCCCCACGGCGACCCCCTCCTTCCCTTCACAGTCTTGGAAGATAGAGGAGCACAGGGGAAAGGCATGCCAAGGCAGTAGACACTTTTAAGCAAAGATTAAAGGTTTTTCTTTTTAATCAGTCGTTTGGCAGCGATGTTAGCATTTCACCCTAGTGCAGCTAAGGATCAATTTTTAATGCTGCTGTGCAGAGAGCAGACAGGGTGATTGGCAAGAGAGAAGCTATTTACAAAGGATCTATTTACAAATTTTCCATAGAAATATGCAGAGGGCACAATTGACATCTCTTACAGAATATTAAATACGCTCTTTTCCTCTCTCTTTCGTCATGAGGCACGACCTCTCTGAGCCCCAGATGATCACTGCTCTCTGTGTGTGTGTATGAGTGCATGTGTGTGTGTTCACTCTCATATGTCTCACATGTAAGAATAATAAAGGCATCTACACCTCTCCCTTGTGTTGCATTGTGTTACATTTCTCCGTGTTGTGCTGCCACAGGCGGGGTAACTAGGTCAATCAACCCTGGTGTAAACACATCACAAGTATCCACCAACAACATGCTAATGACAATGACTCTTTTTAAAAAAAAAAATGTATATATATACTTTATGCACTCCTCTATGCCACAATAAAGATAAATAATAAAGACAAGTTTCTTTGAGTAGGACAAACCAGCAAATGAATTTACAGCAAATCTCAGTGCACACAACTGACATCTTCAGACCCACACAATTTTATGTTTGAGCAGACCTGGCACTTCTGTCTCCCCATGCGTCAGTCCTCATATCCATCCATGAATCAAAACATTATCCATCCATCCATTATCCAGTCCTCCATTCATCCGTTATTCAACCATCCATTCATTCATGCAGTCAACCAGCCTTCCAGCCGACCAACCCACACACCATTGATCCAATGATTGACCCTGCACTGGGTGGATCAATACTCTCTTAAATGGCCTCATTGTAAGCGCTTAGGCACAATGGCCAGGCATTGTTTGTGCAGTTCATTTCCAAGGCGGCAAGGCCGTGCAGGGCTCTAACCTGAGTCAACTCTGTTTTCTCCTCCACTTATGTGATCGCAGCAAAGAGAAAAGAGGAGGCGCTGGCATTGAGCAGAGAGCATCCTGTGCACATGCAACAAAAGGAGCAGTGGTCCATGCAAAACGACTTGTAATGACTCATGACTATTAGATAGTTAAAATGCCTGTGCATAGAGCAGTTTTACAGACACATAACTGTACTGTTACATAGGCAAATAGACAGATGAGAGTAATAGTATTTACAGATAAAAGAAGTCATGTGTGATGGTTCAGATCAACACAATCAGGGTAAAGTTAAACTGAACTGTGTCACAGCAGACACACACTTCCTCTTCACTTTCACCTTGAATAACTGTAATATTACCCAAAGTAATGTAGTATTTCATAGAAAGAATTATCGTAGATGACTGCAGTAAAGGTATTACTTAAAGGCAGAATGAATAGGATTTGTCGGTGGCCGGTTTGTAAACACAACATCCAAAGTTGGCTCCTCCTCTCTGGCTCAACGACACCAGAAGCGCACGCCCCCTGACCGTCTTTAGGTTTAGGGTGCTCACTAGCTGATGAAAGCCAACACCAGATTAACTCAAACATACTTCACACACTAGCGTGGCTGTTTCTCAGTGTGAAGAACAGGTCATCCTTTAACTGCAAGGTTGCTCCAACTATCCGCATGTCTAAGTGTCCTTGAGCAAGACACTCAAATCTGCATTGTTCCCTTGACGCTTCACCCCATTGCTCCTAAAAATGCTTAAAATGGGTTAAATGCAGGGGTCAAATTTCATATACTGTATGTTCCTGTATGATGATTGTAAAAAGGGATGTAATAGCTGATGATTGAGAGGGATTCTTTTTGTATGAGTCTTTAATATATATAGTTTTAGGAACATCCTACTCATTCTGCCTTTAAACAATACGAACCTGAAGGAGCAGTAGTATTCAGGAGACTCATGTTCAGTATATCACTGTGCAGCCTATTGTGGCTCGGTGTGCATACAGAAACCCTGTTGGGTTAGAGCTGGGGCCAGGTCTTGGCATTAAATGACTGGGACTCTGACAAGTCTCGGAGTTCTGTCACTGAGGTTCACAGGTCTTGTTAGCCAAGGTGTCGGCAGGGGTGGAAATGACTGTGTGTGAGTGTATCTCTCTCTATGTGTGTGTGTGTAGGTGTGTACGTGTATTTGTGTGTGAGGTGAACATTAGACAGCACTCCTACCTCCACCTCCTCACCTGACACCAGCAATAAAACTAAACAGGCCAATGTGCTGTGTGTGTGTGTGTCTGTGTGTGTGTATGGGGGGGGGTTCACGGGAAAAAGGGGGCATGTGTGCTGCAGGGTTGTTGCTGCTGTCACCAATTTGCCGGGGCCTCCAGACGGGAGTAGGAGCAAGGTGACGGAGCTGTGGCTTGATAAACACAGAAGCCCTGCTTCGATTTCCCATCCAGTCCACTTTGGAAACACATGGCTCTTCCTGGGCGCTCTTGGCCCAGGGAAGAAGAAGGAGGAGGAGGAGGAAGGGGGCAAAAAGGGGAGGAGGGGAGGAACACGGAGAGCCACAAGAGAGACATAGTGATGGGTGTGCTGTGAGGGAGAATAGCAGCCAGGAGGAAGGTTGAGAGAGAGAGAGAGAGAGTGATAGGAGGAGGCTAGAAAGAGGTGACAGGCCTGGTGGGATCACGTGTATTGACTTCCACAGAGATGACAGACCATCCGTGCTTCCATAGACACAGCACAGGGAAAGAAATGCAAGATAAAGATAGGAGAGGAAAAATGAAAGAGAGAGCGAAGTTTGAAATTTGAGTGATCCTCAAAACAACTTACACTCTCAAAAATATTCTTTTCAGGTGAAAACACAACATTTCTCATCTTTCATTCTCCCATTCCCTCCATTTCTTTCACTTTTGGTTGGAAACAACTTCAGTGTTCTGCCTTTCAACTGACATCAGAAGTTTAAAGACCAGCTCCAGTTGGAGGAGCAGAGTAGTGTCAGTGAGGGAGGTGAGGCACCAAACTCCCCTCTGCCCCCCTAGAGAGTTAAGGAGATCACATTTTAACCCCCCCACCAAACCCCACCCCGCCGCTCCTCTCCTCCATGCCTTAATACCAACATAAGAGGACAAGTGTGGGCTCTAAGCACCAGTGATCAAACAGGAGCGGCTGCTGGTTGCGCTAGGCTCAGGACGGTTGGCCTAATAGGATTGGAAGCCCCCAGGTGAGCCAAGGGACACCTCCAATCAGCGTGATTAGCCAAAGGCTGAGCAGCCTTTCTAGCAACAGCAATGAGTGATGTACAGTGCTAAAAGGATCACATAGGTTGTGGAGAATGCAAGCAAGTCATGGAGTTGATGGTGCATACCAAAGTTTTGTGTGGGATTGATGGAGTTTAAAATTGCATGCAGTTTAAACATGTCAGAATGATCTTGAAATCTGACTGTTTGGTTATTATTAAGTTCACAGAAGCGTGTGATGTGTTGAGCTGTGGAATAATCTTGTCTTCTTGGCTACTATAAAAACAGCATATGTTGTATACATGTATGCACACAGCTTTGATGCAACACTATACATGCATAAGTACGTTTAAATGTGAGGATCTGCATGCTCTCACCATCCACAAGTTCACACACACTTACATGCACGGACAAACACACATACATTGCATGCCCACACACACCCACACACACCCACAGACAGGCTTTTATAAACTCATCACATCCAAAAAACAATTACCAGAGACTGAGCTCATCACTGACTAAGCAAAAGTCATCCAGCGTGTAAAACACACAATATAATTAGCACACATCAAGCTGCTGTGTCCTACTGTGCATTAATGATGCTTCCCTCTGAAGTGAATGATGGTTTGATGACTGAGAAAGTGAGTGAGGAGGGGCTTTGAGGAGGAGCAAAACGTAATTTGGAGAAGGGGAAGAGAAGCAAGTGTGGAGGGAAAAGGGCCAAGTAAAGATGCAAAAACTGAATTTGACTGGTTTAACTTTGGTGACGCACACTCATTGCCCTAAAAAATAATTAACCAGAGAGATATGAACATTTAGGGATAGATGACGGATTACTCACTTGTGGCGAGGGCCATCATGTGCCAGGTACCACAGGCTACATCACACACCTGCATAAAAGGAAAATGTTGCTTAGCCTTCCAAGCAGTGCAAGATTTCAAAATGCAACTTTTCCCAAGACTCCCCTGCAACAGGCTTTTTGGATTTTGCTGAATCGAATGGGACTGTAATAAGGAGACTTTGGTTTGTCTTTTTGTACAAAATGAAGTTACCATTACAGATGCAGTGTTTTCCACTTTCTGCAAAAGGTTTAACTCTCAGTTTCATGAGATCTTTATTTATTAAAGAATTTTGCAGTTCTGGCTGTCAAATTCTGTTGTGACATCATTGATTGGGATGTGTGCAGGACTGTGTTCAGCTGCATACTTTTAGCTATAAATCCACAGAAAGCAGGGCAGACTTTAAGCCATATATGATTCAGTGTGAACTCTTTAAGAATTTATGCATATCCAGCTAAAACTCATATACTCAGAAAATCCTGAGGCTTTCATCTACTTGAGACTTGAGGAGTCTGAAGACATTTTGTCCAGCGTTTCTCATACACACCTTTCTGCCTGCCAGTGAAACCGGCTGTGGTATCCAGAGCTTTTTGAGGCCTGGATGATCAATGACCCGGGACACACAGGGGATCTGACCCCAGAGAAGCAGTTCTCCGCCTGCTGGAGATTTGAACAAAAGGGCGATATGTTCAGACAGATACATCTGAGACATGTTTTATGTCAAAACTTTTATCTCAACTATGGGAAGTAAAACTAGCCGTAATAGGATGTGTTGGTATGCTCTTCACAGGTTTCTGACCTTCTTCAATGTGTTGCCAGATTGTGAATGTAGGTCCCTGATCACAGATTTACCTGGGACTGTCAAGCTGTATCCTGAGCCTTACAACTCTGATTTCTTTCAAATTAAAAAAAGAACAGTGACCACCAATTAGAAACAGTTAAACGGAACTAAGATGTACATGCTGTCAGTTTGGTTTAGTTTAGAGCAGGAGGGAATTGATGTACAGCACTGTCTTGAGACAGTAACCCAACCCACACCACATACCCACACCCACTCACCTGTCTCCTTGGCCTGCTGAGCAGAGGGACCACATTCTCAGTTGACACTTATCAAAGACACACACACACACACACACCCACACACACACACGCGCACACACACACACACTGAATGTACTCACATACAGCAAACACTCAAGCATCCACTCACTCATGCTACCTCAGTCTGCCTATTTAAACCTGCCACTAATAAATTTATATTTACTGCCTGCATTGAGGACTTTTAAATTATAGCTTACAATAAACCTGGCACACACATCTCAAAAGCTCTTTCAGGGGATGTTAAAGCAATATAGTAAGCAATTTTCCAAAGTGGATTACAAATTTCACATCCAGGTTTTATTGCACATTACGATAACTTAACCACATCTAAATGTTCTGCATAAATGGGAAATATGTGCTGCTTAATATGCTATTTTTCATTTTTTAAGAAGCGCTTTGCAAACCCTGCCAAGCGAGGGAGCATGCTGGTTTGTGTGGTGGGGGAGTCAATAATCTTTATGAGGTGGATTTTAATTACAAGGAGATAACTGAGTATCCTCCTCACGGCAAGCCTCCATCAATCTCTATTCTGCATCAAGCCATGGCACGCATAGACACACACACACATAAATGCACACACGCACACACACACACACACACACACACACACACACACACACACAGACGCTGATAACCTTTCAGACATGATTGATCAATCAATCAGTAATGTATTACTTTCATCTCAGCAACGCAAACCTTATAAAAGCATATGAGGCAGGCGTTGCTAGATGGCGTTGTACCACTAACACAAATACGCACGGTAACACTGCTAACATATGCATGTACATACACACGTACTGACAAAGACATTTACAGACACAGATGCTGGCAGGGTAATCCAGCTAAAAAAGGTTAAAGCTGATGTTTTCCAAAAGAACGACGGTCTGTGAAAGGTCAGATCAATCATGTGCTAAGCATGCCTCGTAAGCAATCCATAAAGAGCTTGTTTTAAATAATAACATTTTATAGATCACCTAAAGACGTAACTGTAACACCGGAAGGTTGGGCTTCACTCTCCAAATACTCTTCATTGTGCCAAGAATTCAAATGGGACCAAACTTAAGATGTTGACTGCAGTACATTTAATGAACCAGTGGCATTTCCAGCAAAACCACGCGCAGAGCCAGCAGACGTCTCAGTTCAACAATAAGCAATTCTTCTAAGGGAATATTGCAGTACAGCTGCAGTAGGCTGTAAATGTGCCCTGGTCTTTAAACAAGTACAATGCCTTTTCTCTTTAAGTGGCTGATGTTACATTTGTAGTGTAACCACTTTAATTCCAGCTGTCTGGCAGAAGGCAAGCAGCAATTGAAGGAGAAGTAGTTGCCTGGCACTTTGTAATGGTGTAAATGTATTAGAACAAGTTTTGTGGCAGTTCAATGACTCTCTATGGAGCCGAGGGGAGGTGAATCAGATTGCTGAAATCACACAAGTTAAGAGGATATGGAGAGAGAAAGCTAGAAAATAGGGACAATCAGAGCTTACCTGTTTTTAAATTTAGTCAGCAAAGGGGGCTCTGGGTTTGGCTTTTTAGGAATTACAGGAAAGACAGCCAAGCTTAGGGAAAAGCTGATGTAAAGGGATGGTTTGCCTCCTTATCTCTCCGTCTTATTAATAACAAAGTAGCTACAGGGATAGTCTTAGCAGGGTAGTTTAGGGGATCGCTGGTTGAACAACAAATCAGTTCATTATGTACATCATCTATCATATAACACTAAAACCTGCTTCGTTTAAGAAATATTGAGAGCTAATGAGGTTGAATTTGTGCTCCGAGTGATGTCATTTGAGGACACTGAATCCTTGTAGTGTTAATTAAAACTCAATGAAATGATGTAGATGAAAAATTAGCATGGCTGAAAGCCACAGTGAGGGATACTGCTGGGAAAATAAGGTTTTCAAGTGAGTAAGTTGTTATTATATTATGTAGAGTGAATACAACATCTAAGGATCTTTTGAAAAGATCACAATGACAGATATCTGCAGTTACAATTAGCCGTTTGGAGGTTTGAGTTAGGCTGTGTTATTAAAAGCTACTACAAGGAGGTTTTAACTTGTTATGAAACCGTCTCAATTTAATACAGATTCCTCTATATCGCATACTTAACCAAACGAGAACATCTGCGAGAAGATTGTTTTTTTCTATATAGTTATTGTTAATCCGGTCATCGGGTCCGATTCCCTGTAAAATCAAACAATTTGGCAGTGAGTAGTGCTTTAGCCAGTTAAAACGAAGGTTATGACTGGTACTGGGGCAGGATCGGCAAAAAAGGAAAAAAGGGACAGTGAAAGACTATGGAAGAAACAAGAGTTATTCTTTGTGGGTTATTCAACAGATGGAAACAATTGTGAGATTTGAAATGATTTGAAACCGATCATGAATTGGCCCTTTTCCTTCGAGACTGGTTATATGTCTATTTTATTAAAGCAAGATGTAGTCTTACATCAATATATTCATTTATAATTTATTGTAATGTGAGTTGAATGCAGCTAACGTAAGCTGCCTTTGTCTCGGAAAGAAAAGCTTTCTGTGATTATGACAATGATGACCAGAATGCACCAGGCAATCAACACTATCTTGTATTGCTATGCATCCTGCAACAAGCCGTGCTTCAAAATGAAAAAAAAAAATAGTATTAAAAACAAGTCCTCCTTTTCCATAACAAATGCACATACTGGCCGGATCAACTTTTGTATGCCATAAGGCAGTGGTGCTCATGGGAAATACAGTCTTCTTTCTGGGAAAACTCAACACAAAGTGAAAGTTTATTGTAGTTGCTTGAATTGTATAATACAGGCGAGGGAAAGATAAAAACTGCTATCACAGCAGGTTGGATACTAGGCTCACCTGTGACGGCTGCACTGTAGCTGTCTCCTGCTTGTATCTGTGTGACCTCGGCTAGCTGAGAATAGTTAAGAAGACAAGGAATGGAGATATGAATCCTGTCATCCCCAAGTCCAAGCTGTCCCTGAAAGCGAAACAATGATATCATGTCAGTCACAGGATTAAATAAAAGTTTAATCCCAATGATTTCATTGCTCATAGATGGAATAGTTAAATAAAGACACATGCCTGAGTGGTATTTCAATTTGGGGGAAAGAACAATGTTCCCATTTTGCGTAGCACCAGCAGGTGACTGAGTTCTATCATCTCATTCTACTTCATGCTGCCATGACAGTCCTGAATGTAAACATGGTTGTTAAATTTGTTAAAGAGGACTTGTATCACGGAGTATCGTAATTTAAGTGCATCTTTGTAAAGCGGCATTATAATATCTGCTGTGTAAGGTTATATATGACATCGGCAACTGGCAATTCATCTTGGCTCAAATTGCTGTCACTGAGGAGGAAATACTGTTTAAAAAAGGCACACTGCATATTTCTTTCACCGACCAAAAATCTACCATGTTTCATGTTTAATTTACCATCATGTGCAACTGCCTGGCAATGCAATCCCTCATCGGTGAGTGGGTCTGTGTAAAAAGTCTATTCAAACACAAAGGTTTAATAACCATAGCGTCTCGCGCAGTACAATAGAATGCGTTGTCCTCAATTTACATCTCTTTCTTTGTGTTTCAAATGGTGAGGCTGCTCAATTTGACTTCTCAGCTGTCCTGCTCTTCTCTTTCCTGCTCGCTCCTGCAGAGATAAAGGGCTTTCTGCACTGTGCCCATGTGCACACCGGCATGCCCTGGCATATGTTTGAAAGTGAGCACAATATGTGTGGGTTTACATTTGAGTGTGTGTGTGTGCGCCATCCAGTAATCTGGGTCTTTAATTGCTTATTCGTATGTGCGCTACTGTGAGGATTTGTAGATGCGTGGCAGCATATGTTCCTGCTGTGAGTGTGTGTGTCTATGTATTTATATTTATGAGTGTATGTGCTTCCATCGGTGTGCGTGTGCATGTTATTTTACTTGCAGTTAGGTACAGTAAGTGAGCAGATGTGTCCATACCTTTGTGCACTTGTTTGTGTGTCTGCATGTGTTTGTACTTGTAAATGTGTATTTGTGTGTGTGTCTGACTGAATGAGCACTGTCAGGTGCTGCTCCATGCTGTGCCAGCTGCATCTGGAGCCATCTGTGTTGGTGCTCAGTGGGAGGGGAGCGGATGACTTTAATGTACTTGAACCCCAGACAGACCTTTCCCAGACATTCGTCAGTATGAAACCAAGACAACTGGGCCCAGTCAAGCTGAACAGACTGATCTGGGTGGTGAGCAGGAGACAGACGCTTTGGTTACACTGTAACCCCCGGTCAGACTCACTAGGGAGCCTCTGGCAGTCAGAGATACACAAACACTGGAATCTGTTTGTTTCAATGATAGAAGAGTAGTGTTTTATATCAGAGGACACTCTCACCTTTTTTAGCTGTCAAAGTTCTGCTGCCTATTTTCTACAATGTAATCCTGTTTTTTTTTCTTTCATGTGTCTGGATTTTATTTCTTTTTAAATCTAGCTAATGTTTTCACTATTTGGTTAGAATTCCTAACGTCACTGGAACTTGCTTTCAAAACAATACAATTTAGCATGTATAACAATGCATATAACTATTCTTGTGGTGTTGACATTTAGAAATGGCATTCATTTTGATAAAGAATGCATTATGACTATGTTGGGAATTAAAACCTGAGATTTAGTCTTGGGCCTTGATTGTCAGGACTTACTTGTGACTTCTCCCTATGTCTCTCTCTTATAGTCTCAATACACTATCACATACTATAAAAAAGGACAAAACTGCACTTAACACTTCACCCACAACACTAAGAACAGCACAATATATTGACACAATCCTCCACCACAAAGAGAACACAGAGGCCTAGTAATGATCTTGCAGCAACAATATGATTAGTGAAGCACAAAATCAATTAATGCAGCAGTAGAATCAATAGGTGTCTCTCAGCATATATGTCCTGCAGTTAATTAATAAACAAAAAGGACATTAAGCAGCAGAGCATCAGACTGTGGCAACGACTGTCATCAGTCACAACATGCGTACTGATGGCATCAGCAGGATGGGAAAGGGAAAACACAGACAGATATAAATGTGAGCATGGCGAAATGCCAAACGCACCCACAGGCAACAATGCTAGCACTACACATGCATACATTTGAGAGAATGACCATGCATAGACACACACTACATATACAAACACACTCATGCACTTGCCCTTACACACATGCACATACATGTTTTCTTTAAAAAACATTATTTTTTCATCTTCTCTTCTTTCACACAGAGGAAGAACTGTAGATCCAGGGTGCCACTAACGCTCGTTTTGTTCTACTGTAGCAGCCCGGACCATATTAGCATCAATTTGGATCAGGCCCAGGGTTCGATGAGGCCTGAACTGTGTTGGAACCAAGCCCAGGGGTATCCACCATCACCAGGCCGGCTCACTTATTATTTACCATGCCTGATGACTCCCCCTTATCATTACAGTACAGACAGGGTTGCAATCAACAGAGTGACACACATAAACACGTGTTACACGTCGTCACTACCTAGTTTATAACAACACTTTTGACCTGAGTGTGAAAAGCAACGACATTGGACAGAAAAAAGTGCTTGTGCTTTGCTTTCATGTGTAATCTGTTTTTGATACATGTCAGGCATGCATACTTGGTTTTATGTTTTACTATCGATATTTGTTGATCAAGCACACACTGTACGTTTTGGTCGACAGGCTCAAGACTACTTTCCTGTTGTAGTCCTTCATTTTTTCCCGATTACCTAATTACGTTTTCTATAAAGGGTTTTGTTTTGTAGTTTTGCAATTCATTGGTAATGCAGAAATACTGTAATCTGTAGCTCATCTCTGTACTACCGTCATCGGCTATGTATGAGAGAGTTTTCTTTCCTTGCGGTCTACCTCATTATTTAGGATGCTTAGAGCTTGCATTAGAAGTCTATTGGATGTTATGTCAATTCAGGTCTCTGGCCGGTTAAACTGCCTGACACAACTTTAGCAAACAGTTGACCTTGTTATCACACAGCTGACATTAGGAATCGAGACATGACTCTCGACTGAGGATTTGTCTGTAATTTGGTTGACTGGTTAATCTAATAACCCATAATGGTAGGGATAACTATTTAGATTTGAACATTTTGTATTTTTGTAATTTTTTTAAAAGAGTAAACATAAAAGTGATTGTTCACTCCACAAAATGTCTGTTATTTTTTTTCATTCTCCTGATACCTTTAACACTTATTTGCTACCCCCGTTATAATGTTATCATATTGATTCTGGCTGTGGAACGCTCTCTCTGACATCATTCAAATTCCTTCTCACCTCAATCATGTGATACAGCGCAGGCCGTCCGTCTTTTAGTCTCAATAGGAGGAAAACAACGAGATTTCTATCGGTAATACTATTACTAGCTGTAATAGGGTTAGAGCTGCCTGGGTTTACCTTGGTAGGGCAGCGGAAAACTTTATTAAGTTTAAGACCTTTTGCTTTTCTACTTTTTCTGCTGCTACTGATACATAATAGCCTTTAAGCCCAAGAGAGAGAGAAAGGTATCAGCTTTGTATAAAGCAAAGTTCAAGATGGCCCCTCATCTCACTTCTTCGCTAGCGACAAACAAAGTGTTATCTTTCAGAAGGTGGAACCTTTCTCATTTCTTTACGTGTTGATGGGAGTATAGTTTCGGTGTGGCACTGTGCGGCTGATTACAGGAGGAGTCTTAATCAGGTGGTGCAGTCTGCTTGGGGCCCCTGGGGCCGAGAGTGTGCTACATCCTGTCAGACTGCACGGAGAAACAATCAATCATCAGAACGGCTCCAAGACAGAGGAGAGAGAGAGAGGGCAGGAAGATGGGAGAAATGGAGGAAGAGGAGAAAGAGAGAACATGATGAGGGGAGAAAGAGAATGAGACGGTGCCCTTGCACAGACTAATATAAAGTTATATAGATGCAAGAACGCCTATGAAAATCCAATGAGTCTAGTTAGACCAGAAGCCACCCTGTAAGAGTGCGATGTGGAAGCCAAGGCCACGTCAAAGCTCATAACAACTGATGTCTAACATTTTCATTGCTCCCCGGCTCTCTAACCTTCACCTACATGTTTGTTTCACTGTCCTGGCAAAGCGTCATCCTCTCTGTCACGTTGTAAAAGTGATCACATTTTGGCCGTGGTTTCAAACGACCTCGCAAAGCTGGGAGGAATAAGAATCAGAGAGAGAGAGAGGAACAGAGGGATTGAGGTGGGCCTAGGTTTTACACTCTCTGGGCTCTGTCTGAGGGCTGTGTAATGATGCGCCCCTTTAAAGAACGTCTTAAATGAAAGGCCAGAACAATCCTCTGTGACAGGTGGGATTCTTTATCTAACAGAGGGGGAGAGACAAAACGGGGCCAACAAATACACACACACACACACACATACACACACACACACACACACACAGCCTCACGTGTACATACTTTGGGCTATGTACATTCAAAGGGGCATGCACACACAGTAGAGGATTCCCTGCCCTGACCATGTGAGTTAAATTGCCAAACAGCAGATCCCATAAAGGTGATATATAAAATTAAAAAATATGTGTGTTCTTGGCAAAATATGAAGGATATTAAGCGCTCGAAAGGAGGGCTCGGAAACGGATCTCCCCCCAAAATCTTTTAATCTCTGGAAGAAAAAAAAAAATCTCAAAATGTCTCAAAAATGGAAGCCGTTTGAGAAAGAACACTGGTGTGATATAGAGTTTTGTATTGTTCTAAGTCTGCCTCTCCTGGCAAGGCCAAAAGTGGAAAAATGTTTAGCTCACCTCTTGCCCCATCCCCCAGGAGAAGACATTCCCACCATCTGAAAAAAAAAGAAAGCGAGAGAGAGGGACAGAGCGAACACAGTAAAACCAACATTCTGCAAACAATTCAAGAGAGGTAACAAATACAAGCCTTGGGTTAAAATAGAAAAGAAAAAGTAAAAACAAAAGCGGAGGGTGAGAAGGGAAATGCGCAGCTGACAAAAGTGGCTCAAGCATCATACATCAAGCACTTGTTACCTCTCCCGGTGCCTGTGATTGCACATGACTGCAAACAAGTCAGTGATAAAAATCTGAAGAAAGATGAGACCGATCGGGCTGGCTTTAAAGATCATCAATCACGGCCCTGTAAGCTCAGATATTATTAGTTCAAGTAAAGCTGCACTCTTCCATTTTATGGACATCATAAAAGACTTTGGGGGGGGGGGGGGGGGGGTGGAGGTGGAGTGGAGGAGATCCCCCAGTGTTTTAACTAGGATTGGGATGGATGTGTTTGGAAAAGCAGACCGGATGGATGGACAGCTCTAATGTAGGAGCCCTAACTTAATCACTCACACAGCACCGGGCTCCCCAGGGGAAGGAATGTGGGATGGGAGTGTAAGGCCCTACTTACAATATGTTAGAGTAAGTAAAAGTGTACTGTAAAAAGGGCTGTGCGTGTTTGTGTGGTGTCGAATGAGTGTGTAAGTGTGCGTGGGTATGACCTTTTAGATGTTTGGCAACGTTTATACAAACCTTTGGACTCATAAATAGTGTCCAAGTGTGCATTTCTTTAAGGCGTGACACACTATGACCTCTAGATAGATAGATAGTTACTTTATTAATCCCGCAAGGGGGCATTTTTTCTCTAACAAGTATCAGCAAATAAAAGGTTCATTTAAAAGGTTCTGAGTATTATTTGTCTTGTATTTGCTTAAAGTGTGTGTCCCCCACCTCATGCTGACACACTGACACCTGCTCACTAATATTCTTTTCTGAATTATGTGTATCATATTATCTGCTCAAGAACCATTGTCTGCTCTTGAATGTTGCTTTTTTTCAACTGTAACATGCAACACTACAAAGACATTGAAAATAAAAAACAATGGGAACATGACTAGGAATACCTTCCATCACACTTATTAACTTAATCATTACTTTCTACTCTAAAATGATTCTCAATCCATACCAGTAATTTCTGAGCAGTGTCTATGTTTTACACTTATTCCACACAACTTTTTTTTCCTTCTCCCTTTCTTTCTCTCTCTCTCTCTCTCTCTCTCTCTCTCTCACTCTGCCTGCCAGCGGGGACATAAAGGCTAGTGTGAAGGCCATCACTGCCTGGTGAATAGCTGCCCTTTGTGCCTCAGAACTTAATTCACAGGCTGAAAGGACCCCGGCCCTGCCATAGCACCTCTGTGTGCTGCCTGATGTAAAAGTGCTTGCATGTCATCTGAGGTCTCCCTAAAAGCCTTCTGTTACAGGTTAAACACACCCGGTTTAATCAAGTTTTGAGGATACAAAAGTCAGAGGGGTGACCAGTGTGCAAACAGTATTCAAGTTTCCTTCCTAAGTTAAATATAAACAATTCTGGTGCCAACACTGGTCTTGCAGTCACTAAGGTCTTCACTGTTGTCAAGGAAACCTAACTGTTCTTTCATGGTTGCCATGACCTTATTCAATATATAGACCCCCTCACCCCTCTATACGTTACCATTTTAACATACCCAAAGCATTTGGGGTTACAACTAGCTCATGGCAACATTTAGCGGTTGTTCGATGAGAAAATATCTGTGTTACCATTTCGAGCAATGAAACTTTTCTTTTTCTCCTATTTTGGGCTTTGTGAAAACGGATAGTTGCAGAGGGCATCAATAACACACCACCCTCTCTCCCTGTCGTCCTCTCTCCTCTGTCAGAGACCTTTGGCGGGCTTGTTAGGCCTGACACTGGCACCGTAGTGAACAAAAGGGCTGCACGGCTTAGGGCTGCCCTGGAATGTCAGCGGGTTCACATTTCACATGCAGATGCGTGACCCCTGAGCCCTTTAGTGGGAAGGTGCGCTTTAACCTCACAGAGAAGCAAGAGGAGGGGATGGGGGGGTTAAGGGGCACCTTAAGGGGAATCCGGGATGGGGGTAGGGGTAAAAAATAGGACTGTCTGAGTTTGCACTGCTTGCATCTGCTCTTAAAATGCTATACGTGTCTCTCACTGTCTATCTTTTCGTCGTCTTTGCCAAAATACTGCTACACATAGTTAAACTCCGCTGATATACCTTATAGAATATTATAATTGTCGATATTCTGAAAACTTGTCAGAGCCGTCTCCTTTATGTGTGATCTGTGATGCGCCCCCTCTCTTCCCCCTTCTCCGAACACATGAAAGCATTAACTTTTAAAGTGCATACTTAAGATTTCTCCCCAAATGATTGAAAAAGCACAATGGGAGGGGTTATGTAAGGCAAAAGTACTGTGAGCTCCGCAAAAGAAACCAAAGCTACTGTCATCTGCTCTCTGTAGGCCCAGGCAGGCACAGTTTCAACTCAAGGGCTTCACACTTCTATGACTTGTTCTCCTTCCCTCGCTGCTCTCCCTATCCTAACTCTCTCTATAACCGTTTGCCTCTCCCTCTATCCTTTGCTCTCGATAGTGGAAACTTCAAAGACAATAATATCGCCTGCAAAAGCATGAAACTTCAAGCGCGTTTGTTTGTTTTGACCCCGAAAGCCCCTTGCTACAACCCTCCACCTCCAACTTGCAAGCCCTGCAAAATAAATGAGAAAAGAGAGATCAAATCCCGAGCTGCTGTTTTTCCTGCAACTCTCATTCTCCCATATGCTTTTGTAACTTTTGAAGAGAGAAGCTCTGGCATATGGCTCTGCAGCTAATATAATGACCTCACAAAGCTGATGACAGAGTACAATAAGTTCATTGTGAGACAGAGGAGTACAAACTTTTAAATACAAAAATATTCCACCAAGAAAATAAAAATAAAAATCAATACCACACAAATGTGTGCATGCACACACACACACACACACACACACACACACACACACACACACACACACACACACACACAATGAACACATGCCACACTGACTCATCTAGCTTGGCCTCTGTTGGTGTGTCGGTTGTGGATTGGAGTTCTGATTTCTTTTGGAAGTAGAAAAGAGCCTCATCCATCAATCAGCAGGTTGCTACCTCCAACCCTCTCAGGTCGTAACAGGGAAATACAGACAATATAACCTTATGAAAAATACAGCGCAGTAAAATAAAGCTATAACGCTTCTGACTGAAAGTGTTATTCTGGTCCAAAGCAATGACGGCGCTCGCACCGCTTATCTGAGTCAGAGATTTCTCTTTCTTCATATCAGAGTTAATTGTTTATGAAGTCGACACAGAGTGTGTGCATGTGTGATGGGTTGTTCGTGCGCTGTATTTAGTAGTTCTGCCCTCTAATAGTTGAGACGTCTATAGCGTCCACAGCAGGGCCAGGGGAGCAAGGGAGCAATCCATAGGCCTGCGTAGCCATGGCAACTAAACAAGGAATAGGCTAGATGTCAGGCGAGCATGGCTAAATTACCCATTACAGAAAGCAGGAAGGAAGAGAGGGAATACTGGTCAGGGCACAAGAGGCTAATGGGGAGATAAGATGGCCAACATATAGACTACACAAACACGCAGGCGCACACACACACCCACACACATATAAATGCACACACACACACACACACACACACACACACACAAAACGATGGGAAAACAGATAGGGGTTGTCACGTAAAGGTGCCGGCGGAAACACAAACTGGAATAGGAAAATACAATTAAACGTGTACAAACTCTCACAAATAAACACGTACAAACACAATACGCATGTGTATCAACATACTCTGAAACATGCCGATATGCACACATATGGGCGACTGTATGTGAGCTCACACACAAATGCAAAAACACATGTGTGCACACATACACAAGCATACAAAGGGCACAAAGGGAAAACAAAATGGTTTTCATAAATACACCCTCTTGGAGAGTCTGCTTGTGAATGTGGGGGAGATATATTTATAGGAATCCTCTTGTGAAATCCTCTCTGCTCAACCTCACATTTGAGCATGAGAGAGAGAGAAAGAGAGAGAGAGAGAGAGAGAGAGAGAGAGAGAGAGAGAGAGAGAGAGGGGTTGTGTTATTGCTTGTTCCTTCATCCTAATCCTTGATGCATGGCCTTCATGGCCTTGACTCTATACTAATGAATAAAAGAAAAAAGAATGAATCAGTGTAAGTATCTAAACCATTGTGAAAGTGAAAAGGTAAAAGGGGATTGGCGTGGCAAATTGTTCCTGAGACGTGCACGCACGCAACACACACCTTTAAATATACAAACAAGCTCACACACACACTGTGAACACCATAGCCTGTGTGTGCGCACAAACACACACACATATATACATATATATATATATATATATATATATATATATATATATATATATAGATATAGATATATATATATACACACACACACAAACACTCATGCAAAGCACAACTACATGCACACACTGACACAAAAACCCTCCACAGAGAGAGTCAGGCAGTCCTCCTGACTTTAATGCTGCACATTCATTTGCATGCGCCATAATTAGCGTCAGGCACACAGAGGCTGGTCCTGGGGGAGCTCTGTGATAACCGCTTCCCCTTCTATTAGGGCTCTCATTCCAAGAGTGTCAGACATTGCACATCTTCATTGTGGGGCCTGCAGCGCATCGGCTCAGTTGAACCTCTGCTGCTGTAGCTACTGCTGGAGCATGCACCAACAACACGATGGGGACAAGGGGCTAGAGAAAAAGGTGGAGGATGCTAGACTCGGCACGAGGGTGGGTAGAGGGAGGAGAAGACAAAACGAGTACTGAAAGACGTAAAGAAAGAAAAGGGATGAAGTGATAAGTTTGGAAGACAAAGCAAAAGAGGGAAAGAGAGGGAAAGAGAGACAAAGAGAGGTAGCGCATGGCAAAGGCGGTTGCACATTGTGTAGCCGACAGACGGAGAGACAGGCTGGACAG